ACAACACACTGGAGGGACAACAGCATACCTTACCCAAGAAGGTACTTCCATGCGTTTAATGTATTGCTTCTGTAATTGATATTGTTCACTCAAGCCAAGATGAGCCATGAGCACACATACATGCGTGATCAACTCGCCGCCATTAGTGAGCTGCTGTGCGTGTTCCTTCCACCCGCAATGGCTTGCTGCATACGCTAACATTTCCACCCAAACTTCGCTAATCATCTTCCATTTTTGTTGCCTGTTCCAACCTTGTTCAGCATCTAGTGATTGCAGTTGTCTAGCAAGCTTACACCCATCAAAAAGCACTGACTTATTCTGATCTCCTCTTTCATCTTCTGACTTGTCAATTTCTGTTTGTAATAGTACATTTGAAGCCTCTCTTACACGAGTATAAAAGTCTCTTTGCTCAAATTTTAGTTCAAGAAATTTTTTCAACTCTTTACATGTGTCTCTATACCTTATCTCACCAATCCCTTTAGGAAGCATAAACGGACATTCAACAAGAAGGTACATCATGTAATTCGATAAATGTTTGCTAATTAGACAACTTGGGTCGATATTGTTGCGATGTGTGTTTTCTGGAATATCATCTATGTAGCAAAGATAAGTAGCAATATGCCAAAGAAGGAGACTATGATCAAATTCTACCTTAGTTGTGCTCCCAGAAAATTCATCAAAGCGATTACTTTGTTCAAGTGCATAATCACCTCTTTGAGACAAAAACTGCTTGCATAACTCAAGATTGTATTGATCATAGCTAATTTTGTTACCTTTTTCTAGGAGTTGCTGGAAGATCAATGCTTTTAAATATTCATCCACAGGTTTCCATGATAGACACTTGCAATCACTAATCTCTCCACTGTCATACAACCTATAGCAAAAGGTTATAAGATTGTGTTGTGCAATAGATCTCGACCATCTCTTTTTTGCTTGAGAAAAAGAAATGGAATGACTCTTATTTTTTTTACGCTTAGCAAACCAATATCTTGTCCAGTCTGATCTAAGTAATAGGATAAATGCATAAATCTCAAGACCAACAGCTCCTGCTAATAATATATAGCTTATGATAATGTCACTTGATGGATATTCACTACTATCCACATGTACTGAGAAGGCAATGAGAGCTGAAATAGATGAACAGAAACAAATGATACGAAGAAGAATTCCCGAAAAGGAATAAACAATGCTTGCCTTGGTATAGAGCATATCGTACATTAATCCCAGCTCAGTCTCTATAAGTTTGAAGACATCAGTTGGCTCCTTGTCATGGATGATGGAGTAGCTTCCTACTCTTTCATAGTAATCAAGGATAAGTTCAGCAAACAGATAAGTAGATCTCTTGAATAAGTAATAAGCCTGGCATAGATAATTGCTACTAGGGTCGACCTTATCATGTGTCAGCTCACTCTCCTCTTTCATTTCCCTACGAAGGATTTCTTTGTCAGTTCCTTCCTCTTTCACTAAGACATATTTGATTTGAGGATAGGAAAGCAATGAGCTTCGAAAATGTTTAGAGCTAGATGACCTGAGCACACAAGTCCTCTCCAGATACTTGACAATGCCAGTGACAAACATTGGAATGGCTATTAAGGTTAGCTTTGTTGTCTTCCAAGATCTAACGAAGACATAAAATGCAACTCCAGCTTGGACAACAAGTGCAAGAAAATGTCTGAGCCATAACTCGTTATCTTCCAAGGAGTATGCAGTGATACTGTCTGGACCTCCAAGATGTAGGAGTAGAAATGGCACCCAGAAAGCTTGAATTTCACGGCTTGGCCTTGAAAAATCGTTATTTACATCACCCTGGCTTCTAGCCATGTTACCCAATGCAGTTATAGCCACCCAATCTGCTGAATTATAAGCTGACCAGACAAGAATTCGAATTAGGAAACTGGCACTTCGTTTTCTTTTTGAGCCAAACACAATGAGGATGATTTGTAAACATAAGCTCATAATTATCATCCCTCTAATCTCCCATAAATTCCATACTACTTTTACTCTATCAGATAATTTTGACATACTGGCTCCACTTTCTCCTTCAACCTGAAAAGATTAAATCATTATATTTACTATTTTAGAACCATAGGATTAATCCATAAATGATAATAATAATAATAATATATAGCTATAATAATTAATAACGCATGATCAAACTTTATACTTTTGGAAGTCGCTGCAAAAATAATGGAAGTCGCTGAGTTTAGTCTGAATTCTACAGATTAATATTTGGACATATTCTTTATTAGGTTCATGGTTTATGATTTTTAATTTAAATGTAATGATTTTTAATTATTCATAATTATAAAGTTTTTCAATAATTGTAATATATATATAGAAATTTAAATTATAATAAATTCTATGGATCTGGTTGGGCAGTCAGATTGAGCTTGGGCTTGATCGGGCTGGGCCTCTCCGGGCCGAATGAACTTGGGTTGGGCCAGTCAGCTTAGCCCATTTCAACACGTAAATTTTGTTAGTTTAAGACAAATAATTAAGAATCAGTAAACCTTTTTGGGTAAAGTTAAGAATTCGTAATTAAGACAAAGAAAAAACAAAAGAAATTAAACATAATACAAAATCAGTAAATTTAGTGCCATTTCATTATAATTTTATTTGTTGCAATTTTATTATTTTACATCTTTTTATTAATTTTAAACGATGAATTTTTTATTTCTAATAAAAAATTAAAAAATAATTTGATTATGTTCGAAATTTTAAAAAATAATTTCGACTAATAATTTAGTAAAATAATATCAAAAATATTATTATTAAATTAAAAAGTATCTATTTTAGTTTTTCTTGTGAAAAATGCATTTGAAATGAATAAAAAATGTTAGGAATTACAGAGAAAAAAGATTAAAAATTAAATAATAAGAAATATGACAAATTAAATTTAATAATTTTCTTTATTTTTTTTTTAAACGAACAATGGGGACCCCCAAAACCCAAAAGTAAAAGAAATAATAAAACAAAAATGTTTCTCCGGAGTAAAAGCGAGCTGTCGTACATTTTAATTTTTTAAAATTAATTAATATTATATTTATTTGTTACTTAATTAATTAAAGCAAAAATATTTAAAATATAATTGAAACACACTTATAAGTTTAAAAATCAAAATTATAATGGAAAAAACTGGAAATTAATAATAAGATGGCTAATAATTGTACTTTTAAATAATAACAATAAATGTCGTGTATGTTGAACATTAATAAAATCAGCGGACTATAAGTTTGTGGTTATAATAAATAGTCAAGTCATAGAAAATGGTATTAATATTTATACATATAATATATATATATATACATATGGGAGCAGATCTATCAAAAAATTCTTCCATTGTTAAACCTCATCTTCTAAATCTCATACAAGTAGCAAGCAAATTAATCTACAAAACAGAACAAAAAAGAAAAAAAAGAAGGAAAAGCTAGTTTTGGGTCGCAACCATGATTGATGAGTGTATCTGAAGAAACAAGTAGAAAACAAACCAAAGGAAACCGAGGTTTCAAACAGTTACAGCTAAAAGAAGAAGAAGAAGAAGAAGAAGAAGAAGAAGAGAAGAAGAAGAAACATCATAACTCACCAGCTCTGAAGTGGAGATCTGCAACTGCAACTGCAACTGCCACTGCTGCTGGACACGTTGAGTTAAGGGACTGAGAAGAAGAAGAAGAGAAGAAGAAGAAGAAGAAGAAGAAGAAGAAGAAGAAGAAGAAGAAGAAGAAGAAGAAGAAACATCATAACTCACCAGCTCTGAAGTGGAGATCTGCAACTGCAACTGCCACTGCTACTGAAGGCGTTGAGTTAAGAGACTGAGGAGAAGAAGAAGAAGAAGAAGAGACGAAGAGATGTTTAGTTTAGAAACCGAGAAGAAGCAGAGGAGAATGCGACTTTATTTTTCTTTTGGACACCCAAGTCAACCAGACTTGGTTTAACCGTTTGATCCTTCTTCCCTAACCTGATCTGTTTGATTTTTATTTTATTTTTTTGTACAAATTTATACGTTAATTAAGTATTAATTATAATATAATATATAATAATGACATAAAATAAATATATAATCCAACTTTATAAAAGAAAATAAATATATAATCCAGCTATATATCTCCAGAGACACCACTAGCCATGTCAACCAATAGGATTCATTTCCAACCAACATTTTTATTTTTAAATATTTCAATAATCAGCTTGACTTGGGCGGCAAATAATGCAATTTCTAAGTATTAATAGGTGGGTTTTTGATTTCATAATTCACTAACTAAATACATATAGTTTTTTTTTTTAAATGCTTAAATATAATTTATAACAGACCGAATTCCAATGTATGTGGGTAAGGACATTTGCACAATATTTTTAATTAATAAAATCAATGAATATCAAATACACAGTAGTATTACATATTAATATACATATCTTGTAACGAAATAATTAATTATTTATAGATACATGAGTCATTTAAATTAATTTATAATTTTAAAATAGAAACTAATAAGATTTTCTTCATAATCTTCTATTGATCTTAAATTTATTTCTAGTCTTCTCTGACATGAAAGAAAATGAATTGGAGTGAGCGTTACAAGTTCGGTAAGAAAAAGATTTTATAATAGAGACTTACATATATACATTCATGCAAAATGTAAAATATAATAATATTATATAATTCATAAAAGTATCAAGCAAACATCATAAATAAATATACAACAAATCATCAACGAAAATTTATCTTAATCTTTTTCATTTTGCTCTACTCTTATTCTCATAAATTATTTATAAAATCTTATACTTAATTCAAATTATTCTTTCCTTATTATTTACATTCTTCATTCATAATACTTCTCTGCTCAAATATCACACATCTACCGGATATCACATCTACACTCAAAATATTATAATTAAATTTGAATTATTTAGATACTCGAATATCATAAGACACTCAGAATATTATATCTAAGGTTTTATCACACGATACCGTTTATATCGTTATGGAGGATAGGCGAAAAAGATCCCCTTATTGCATGGATAACACACACACAATCTCACATTAGTTACAGTAGGTATGTTTGTTAGGTGACCCACACACTCACAAATACTTATTCATGTTTGAATGTTTGAACTAGGTTCCACATAACTATCTATATGCAGGTTCACCATACCTGCTGAACTTCGCCACACACGCACTTTTCCCTCCTCGATTCATACTAAACGAGTAAGGTATCTAGGATCCTTATACTCTACACTCTTTTTAAATCTCTCTCATTTTCAATTCGTTTCATACTTAAGATCTTAATTTTTACGCACAATTAAACACAACTATATACATCATTTCATACACATTGATTACACATTCACACGCATCACATATGTACACACATAAATACACACACATATATTATAATACAGACATGTATTCTCACTGTTAAGGATATTTATCTTCTCCTAACTACCATTTCTATGCTTATCATGTAACAGTTTATAGTTATCATGTATATATTATCTCCTAGCTTATAGTTATCCATCATGTATTGTATTATATATTATACAAATCATAATGAGAATATTACATTGATATTTTTCTCCAAGCCTGTGTAAACATAACATGGTATTAGAGCAACACGGGAAAAACACAATGTCAACTTCGAATGAAAAATAACTCTCCATCACTACCACCACTACCTTACCCATCACCTGTACCACCACTCATCGTTTGTTTGCCATCAAATTAAATACCAAAAATTACCTGACATGGAAGGCTCAGTTCATGTCTATTCTCAATTACCAAAATCTCATGGGTCTTATTGATGGTAGTGAACCAATCCCACATAGAACAGTAACTAATGGTGATCCACCCACTGCTACTGTCGACCCTGCATATTTTGCTTGGTTTAAGAGAGATCATATGTTTATTTCCTAACTCCTATCCTCTCTATATGAGGAGATTTTTTCCTATATCATTGGGTTCCCCTTTTCTTTTTCTGTTTGGAGTGCATTAGCAAATGCCCTAGCTGATGAACTTGTTTCTACTGGTCGTCAACTTTCCATTGCGGAGTTCAATGCGATTATCTGTTGCAATATTGGCCAAAAATTTCATGGAATCATTACTACACTCGATATGAAGCCTCAACCCGCACCCGAGAGCGCCGCCGCCGGTAAGCTCCGTTTTTCTGTGATTTTTTGGCCCCCCGAGGGCCTTAGGGTTGTTTTCTCACAGGGACCGATGCGAGTGTGGCCGAATTCGGCCGAAAACGGCCGAAAACAGCCAACCCGAGGCGACTCGCCGCCGCCAGCGGCGGCGCCGTCGCCGAAGCACGGCGGAGCCGCCGTGCCGGAGTTGCGATTTGGGCCGAAAGAGGCCCTGGGCCTAATTTGGGTTTTTTTGGAACACGTGCAGGTACCGTTAGTGTGTTTCAGTTCCCCGGAAAAAATTCAGGGAAAATTAGGGACGGCCTGTAGGCGCACTGTGAATCGTATTCGGATCCCGAAAACAAGTAAGGACCCCTCACCTTATTTCCTATCACGGTTTTAAAGTTCAATAAATGATAAAACGGTATTTCATGAATCAATGAATGTGTGAAATTGCTTAAGGTCGCTAATGGAGCCCGAGTCTAGTGTGTTTGTCGGTTAACTGTTATTTGTCCTGTTTTACAGTTTTAAATGCAGCATGAGGTTTGATGTTTTCATTTTATAGTTTCGTGTGCATATTTTACTATTTTACTGACTATGGATTGAATGACTGAGATACCGATGTTGTGTGTTGTCTGTTTGGCATAAGTTGCTGTTTGTTTTTTTAAATGTGAATTGATGATGCTTATTGAGGAAAAGGAAAATGAAAGATTGTGTAGACTAATAATTGTATGATGGGGTTAGCCTGACTAGATATCCTGGGAGATGGTGGACGGACCGGGTCCGTAGGGAACCCTACCGGGATTGTGGTCTCACATGCCGGACGGGGTATGGGGACGGCCCGTTTCACCCTCATACCGGACGGGGTATTGAGGTTTATGGTTTTGGCGCCCATACCGGACGGGGTATGGGGACGACCCGTTTCACCCTCATACCGGACGGGGTATTGAGGTTTATGGTTTTGGCGCCCATACCGGACGGGGTATGGGGACGGCCCTGGAAACTGATTATGAATGTTAAAGGTTAACGGGTAGCGGGACCCCTATGGACCCCCATGGATACTAGTAGGCTGGTAAATGAGAAAAGGATATGTTGTATAATGATTGAATTACAAAATGCGTGATAAGTGCTATGTTTTACAGCTTATATTATTCTATGATTGTGATAATGTTATTGTTTTCTTATATTGTTTCATGAATTCCACCGAGGTAAGTGGATGGTAAAGGTTTTATCATAAATAAAAAGGATTTGTTATAAATCATGCTCCATTGGTCTTTTGTGTTTTTCTACCCACCTTTACCTCCGTGACGGTGAGATATCGTGATGTTCTTACTGGGCTAGTGTAGCTCACTCCTTATTTAACCATTTCAGATCAGGAAGACATGGTTCCCGAGCCCGTTCCGCAGGAGGACGACGAAGGGGATGCCTAGAGACTCTATAGTCATACTCACAGTTTTATTTTCGAGTTTCTCTCTTAGTTAGTTTAATCTTTTATATTTTAAGTACGTTTTTGGTTTTCGTGTAAGGGATGTTAACCGAAATTTTGATCTCGCTTCCGCATTTAATATTTATAATA